CAGAAAACAGGACCCACGCTATGTGATAGGGGACGAGGACAAGGATCCCGTCAGCAGTGACCCACTCAGGGTATGCCGCCTTGCACGCTGCAAAGAACAGGGCGCTGGTGAAGGGCCTCTTGTCGCCCTTCTCATGGCTCCACGAAGAGACCTTGTGCCCAAGGTGCTCCTCTGCCACCCAGTGAAGGGGATACATGGGATCAGAGTTACTTAGGGACTGAAATGGGGTTGAGGCAAGTTAATGCGTAGAGAATGATAATGGCAATGGACCAATACGTACGTGGGCCGAGGGTCTCCCACCACTCTGCCTTCCTGGCTGTGTCGAGCTCGTACTTGTACAGCCCCGTTCCCATGACGTCTATCCCCAGCCCACAAACAATCGTGTAGCGTGCCAATGAGGACGAGTCGTTCCTGAACTTCGTCCACACTTTGTTGACCTTCGTACTGTACTCCGTCTTGGACATGGCGTAACAGACCTGGACGTAGCTCACGTCATGCGTGGCACGAAGGATGATACGTAGCGCCTCGTTCCTCACTGTGTTCGAAGGGAACAGGGTCACACCTCGCGCCGCACCGTTGCGTAGCAGGAGATCCATTGCCATCTTTGCAGGCACCTGGTGACGGGACCAGGTCATGGTCAAAAGATGCAAACTGCATTAGGTAAGGCATCTGATGTTCGTTGGGAAATTGGCTTTCAGATTAGGCAAACATGACGGCCATGGCATGGTGGTGCAACCGGCTAAAAAAAAAAAACCTCTGAAACCTGGATTAGTGCCATTCGTACTCGTAGGTTCAGACTTACTTAGGTACTCCGTGCACATACTGACCACGATCTCATCTGGAGACGGCATGCCACGTATCAAGCCCTCCCCGCTCCTCTCCGGATCATAGTCAATGATGAGTGTCATCTGCGGGACGTTCCTTTCCCGCTTCACACCACGAGCTTGGAAGCCCTCGGCAGCCCCTGCGCCATGCCCGCGGTACGCTGCTCCTCTTGGCCGGTACGTGTCATTCCGCTGGTCATGCACACCTACCCGTGTAGGTTGTGCCGCAGGAACAGGGCTGGGTGCACCACCGTTGGTGTTGTTGATGTGGTCACGCTCCTTCTTGAGTCTGTTGGTGTAAAGCCCTCTATTCAATGGCCCGCGATGTGCAACAGCCGTAGCGTGGCCGACAGCCTGGGGTGGGGTTGCGGGCTGTGAGGTAGGCTGTGGTGATGGATCATGATGGTCATTAGTGGAAGCATGAGGGTTCTCGTTCGTAGCGATAGGGGGAGCTTGAGGTATGTTACTCGCGGCTGCCTGCGTGTCACCCCTATTTAACCCAGAGATGGGGCCCTTTCCACATTCTTCGTGCCTGCGGACAGAACTGTCAATACTCGCCAATGCCTCTAACTCATCAGCACCTAGCAGTGGAGTGCCACGACTACCAGCAGCCGCAAGGATACCCGAAATGTCACGGCCACGTCGCTGGTGAACGCTGTTGAGCAGCCTCGTCAACTCTAAGAGTTCTAGGTCGTCTCCTCCGGCATCCCCAACACCCTCCTCGGGGGACGATTCACCGTGCTCTGCCTCCATGTCGTGAGTCTGTCCCACGCCACCATCGAAGAAAGGCGTTGGCACCATTCCAGGGAGGCCAGCGCCCATGCTAGTTCCACGTTCTGCGTTGGCCATGGAAGGATGAACCAAAGGTGACATCTGTGTTGAACCAGCGTTTACCAACGCAGGAGAGAACAATGGTCCACGCTTGAACGAGCAGTACTGCTGTGTGGGACTGATCGACCACTGCCTCCGGGCATTGAGTACCGGCTCACTTCCTGCTGGAGTCAGAAGCGTCGACGGCTTCAACTCGGTCGCTGCAGCACCTTTACCGCCCTGTTCTGGTGAACTCCAGTTGATGAGTGGCGGCTTGCGACTCGTCCCAGGAGGAGGCGAACAGTGAACATGAGGGCTAGTAGAACCAGCTTCCCCCTTCGCCCGACCATTCAGCGCTTGTTTCGCGCCATCGGCTCCATAACGGGCTTTGTGCTGCTGATAGTTCGTCATCCCGGTCGAGGCCACGCCCGTTGCGACAAGGATCAACTACGGCACTTGCTCACCCCCCTGTACCTTCCGTGTGTAGATGCTCTCTCCATGCCGCCACATGTTCTCTTTGCTAGACGCCCTCCCACGGACTTGTCGTACGACTGGCTTGTATTCTCGGGCCTTCTTTTCCCTGGGGGGCTTCTTTGCTTGCCGTCCGCGCTTTACACGTGCAACTTGCTTAACAACAGTGCCAGGGGTCCCTGGTGGGTTGGCGTTGGAAGTGGGCACACGCGGTACATCTAGCCGCGGTAAATCAAGCCTCTCCTCGACGGTGAAGCCGTACGGCTTAATGGGCGGGTCTGCGGGTCCACCGATGTCTGGGGCTTGCTCCGCTACCAAATATCCCTTGGGCGTAGGGTTGGACACTCGGTGTTGTCTCAAGAACGTCCTAGTCGCCTCCACATCCGCCGCCCATTGTGCAGTAGACGGCTTAGACTTACCTCCACTTTTTATGCCTTCGAAATCATCAAGCCTCTGGGGAAGACGTCTAACACGCACCGGACGAGCGACAGCGGCACACATGGTGAGCGGCTGTTCCACTCTTACCTAACAAAATATAGCGCCTATGCCACGCTAAGTTAGTAAGGTTCGCCCTGGTTTGAGCATACCATTCCCATGAGGGATAAGAAAATGTTACGGTGCTTGTAATCGTCAAATAGAAGAGGAGCTCACGGATCGACCCCGTAGGACCTTATTCCTCGTTGATGACACTCCCCGGGGGACATTCTCAGCCGTGGATATTCACACAGGGCAGTTTCATGGGCGCTCCATGCAGTCTCGTCCTTCAACGAAATTACAGGTGCAAAATGCGTCGAGGTTTCGCCACATCACCTCGTGCAAGTCGATCATCTCACCAGCAGAACTGTGCCACGTGGATCTACAGAGGGTTCCTGTTCACTGCTTCGAGCAAATGGAAACCACCAGTGTAATTTCGCGTATGTCCCTGTGACAGCCTGTCGTTTCTCGATAGGCCCGAACCACATCCTCAGCAGCCCTTTGTTGCTTATGTTACCCACACAACCGCTAACATCCAGCTCACTGACCCTCTAGAGCATAGCAAACCGTTTCCTACACCGTGGGACCACTGAGCAATTGCACATTCCAAAATACGGTAACCCAACGTAATCGAGAGTCAACATTCAGTCCATGTCCCCAAACTGTCCCTAACCTGTCTCCCGCCGCTACACATCCCAAGGGTTTCGCTGCTCGGCATCCGATAAACAAAATGACATAGCATAGACTTAGGGTTACGCTGTCACTTACCCGGCCACCGAACCAGTACCTCCCCAGAAAGCCTCCATTGATTTAGCAGATGGCTAGGAAGCGTAACAAGAAGGTCGCTAAACCATTCGAGCAGTATGTCATGCCATATCTGTTAGGAGGCGGCTATTTGACGATCTCCCCTCGCGAGGCAGATTTCCTGCAGCCAGGCAAGTGGGTCAGCGGTGACATCATCGAGTGGTGGGGCATGTGAGTACTATTCGTGCAAAGTTCAGCTTCGAATGAAAATGCCAAAGCTTCCATTCAAATAGCTTGTAATCTCTGATTCATCACCTTTCCTGCACCTATCTGCAGAGTTTTATAGTTCGAACACGACTTATCCCGTCGTGAGTGGCTGTAGTGCAGCACATATCTGTACGACCTAATGCAACGACCCTCACGATCGGCTCCATGCACCAACTATACATTCGGGGAGAACGTCCAGACTTTCAAATGGGTATTCATCCCAATAAACCTAGAGTAAGATCCATTACAATCGTACTGAGCAACCTGTAGTGATGGCTCATTCTTACAATCGCCCGAGTGTTTGCTTAGGACTGGCATTACATCCTATAACATCCGTTACAGCAATCACTGGAGCCTTGTCTTGCTGGACAACAACCCGCCTGTGGACGAGGATATCATCCCCCTACCGCCACGGATTCTTCACGCAGACTCTCTCTCCTAGCACATGTTATTCGACGCACCCATCAAAAGGTATGTAGTACTGCTAGTACGGGACGTGTCAGTGCGGCAGAATGATGTTACCTCGTAACAGATGGACCATTGTACTGTGTTGCATCTAGCAGCTTCCTGCGGGAACAACTGATGATCCTGAATCCGATCGTTACGGAGTTAGAGGCAGAGGTATGGGAGAGCGGGATTCGCTACGCGCCAATTGAGGTAAATGTGCACGGCTCTTTTGCTCTCCCACTTATAGCAACACAGTGACGCACACTGTTGGCATGCTGAACGCTGAACATGCAGGTGCCACGTCAGCAAAACGCTGACGACTATGGCATATACATTATGAAGTTCATGCAGGCGCTCGTTGAAACCAGATTTCAAGACGTGAAGACCATTGTGGCACATGGATCAAGCGTCCAATGGCGTGCTAAGTATCTTCAGGACTTCATTTCATGGAGTGTGGCCTATAGCAACAAGTAATGTTGTGTGTAATATTGTGAACATGGTCCTGGATGCTATAGGACTAGATGTTTGTACAGGGTACTAATTGGTTTTCAAACATTTACTAAATATCAAGAAACCTGCATCACCTACTAGCATTGCTGCCACCTTGGGGATCATGTAACCCAGTGTAATCAGTCCTTGTGCGCGATGGGAGTATTACACATCGGCTAGTACAATAACGAGACACGAGATTATAATGCTTAGTGACGCACACATATGAAATTCGTTAATCGAAACTACTAGAAGTTGCCTATAGCGCGAACGAGATTGGACCTCAGGGGACATCGGCGGGCCTGAACTTGTACCTCTGGGCTTTCGTTTTGCCAGTCGTGCTCTCACCTAACTTGGTTGTGTCGTGAGATGGCTGCTTGGAAGAACTTGCGCGGCAGGCGAGCGTGGCTACGACATCAACTACTAGGGGAGGAGCCTTTGGTCAACACAGAGGAACAATATGGCTCCTGGTCTATGAGGGTCTCCGGTGCGTGGATGCTGCCCGAGTTCAACCCTCACGCACCTCGTGACTTGGGCAGGCCGGGGTCAGGCCCTGGCTTAGATGAGGGAATGTCTGACGAAGATGTCGAAGCGCCATGTCGTAACTTGGGACTTGCACTGTACGGACCGACAGAGGCTAAGGACGCCGAAACGGAGGCAGGAGACTGGGGGTTCCTCGATGCACAGACAGAGGCGCAAAAGGATTCAGAGGCGACTGATGACGAGGAGACGCAGGACGCCATACCGGAGGTCGCGACGAAGGACGTCGATGTCGAGTTTGGAAAAGCGGGTGTGGATAGAGGAGACGCGGAGACAACTGATGACACGGCCGATGTGGCGCCAGAGGACGCAGAGGGCGAGGATGGTAATGAGGAGGGGGCGTGGGAAGACGCAGAGACAGAGGATGGTAATGAAGAGGGCGCGTGGGAAGACGCATAGACTGTTTACAGAAATGCGGGTGTGGCGCCAGACGACGCAGGGACCGAAGGCGGAAATGCGGAGGTCGCTAAACGTGAGGCAGAGACCGAGAACGGAAATGTGGAGGTCGGCAAACAAGACGCACAGACCAATCACGGAATTGTGGAGGTGGCGCCAGAAGACGCAGAGACAGAGGAGGGAACGCCATCTGTGGCGCAGGAAGACGCAGAAACAGAGCACATGAATGCGGAAGGACTGGCAGAAGATGCTATGACAGAGGAGGGAGAGCCGGGGGTGGCGCAGACAATCGGGAAAGCAAATGGAGGGAAAGACGCGGCATGGCGACATGAACCGGGGTTGACGGGCAAGGGAGGTTCGGTCTCTTCCGCCGACGCCACCATAGAGCGACCTAACTTTACCGCACATGTTAAGGTGGAAGCCGTTCCCACGCCAGCCTCGACTTTGAAGCTAAGCGGGGAACATGCCAGTGGCACAGGTGTTGCGAAGCCTTCACATGAAAACAACTCTGCCTTGAGGGGGGGGGGGTGGGTCACTGTAGGGATGTTCCTGACGGTTATGTATTCTCGAGTAATGCCTCCCCGGCTCGAGCCAAACCTGTACCCGGCGGTGCAGCCCAGGCCACCCGCTCTGCATCGAATGACGCACAACGGGGTATGAAAAGGACAGTGACGGATGATTGTCATGATCACGTATATGCACGCTGAGGTTTAACATTGTGTCTTTCTTTCTCTGTTTCTCGTTGTGTAGGCTCGCGTCACACTTCTCGTAGCCCTGGGGGCCACACATCATCCAGGAGCAGGACGGTTTTCCACGGCCTAGTTGCGGGTAATTTAGTACCATTGCGTATTATTCAATACTCATGTATTCCTTTGTTTTAACCAATCCCCAAGGGCACCCACATGCAGGAGGGTCTCGGCCTACTACTTATGAAGATGCTCGGCTCTTCATGCGTTTGTTGGAGCGGCTATTACCAGCGAAGGAGGTCAAACGTAGTAGGAAGGACTCTGGCGCTGGTTGATACAACCCTATTTGTTATGGTGCAGCCATGAACGGTTACTAGTAGTTAGAGTTGCAATCACATAGAACAGATTGATGCATTCGAAGAAGGCCCTAGGCTGCGTAACCCCATGCATTTTGGCTGTGTGGCTGTTGTTATGTTTAGGGGATTAGTGCTTGGTCAATGTAGTTTATATTATAAAGTAGGGTAAACAGACCCCCGAAGTCAGAACTGACGCTCCAAATATAAGTTATTTGACCGTATATCCTGAATGAGTCATATCACATCCAGCACTGTACCCAAGGCATAAAAGGTACAGTGCCGTAACAGAGCAGGATATGTTCCTGGCTGTGAGTCAGTGAGACGTGGAAATCGCCGTTGTGCTTGAAGCTGGATCTCAGTAGCAAACCCTAACGGCCGAACCGATTAGTCGCGACATTCGTTAGAAGTTGTAGACGCGCATGCCAGTAGAACTATGCGAATTCTGTGGTGATACATTCGGCAGCTTTCAGATTTTAAGGTCGCATCATGGGACATCGAAAAAGTGCCTTGCAGAACAGGAAAGGCTAGCTACACTTGGCATCCCCCTAGGACGTTATCATGAGTATCCACGGACGGTATACGAGTACGTATATGGGGAACAGTCCCATGGGGTCATAGATTCAGAGGGCGAGGATGAAGTAGGGGACGAGAACAGTGAGCGTGGTGAGGAGAGTGAGGATGTTCAGGAGGCACATGAGACGGACAGCGTGTCGAGCGCGGCTAGCTCAGAACGGTCGGAGGAAGGCGACATAGAGGTTGACATACGTGCAGAGATTGCGCACATCGCTCGCAAGTACAACCTCCCGAATGAGGCTATTACAGACATTATACAGCTGTTTAAGGCGCGTAACCCGTCCGACGACGATCTCGAAACGTGGGAGACTTATAGGGATCTGGAAAAATGGGAGGAGGAGGTTTTGGAAGCGCATGAGCACTGGGAGGAGGTCGAAATAGTACTTGAAGGAGATCTCGGTGTGTTGACGTTTCGTCACCGCCCGATCGTGGAGGTATTTGTGGCATTATGGGAGAGGATGTCAGGAGTGGATGGGTTTGCCACTGCATGGAGGGAAGAGAAGGTCGACGGGGTGACGGTATATCGCAGTGCGGCAGGTGGCAAATGGTTTAAGGAAGCCACGGTGAGCATTACCGCCACAGCAGGTCAATGTCCTGCCAAACCATTCGCACCGTATGTACTAAGTGGTCTCTTGTGACATTTACAGGGAGCTATGGATGGAGAGGCGATTGTAGCAGGAGTGGTTTTGTTTAGTGATGTGACCCACCTGAGTTTCAATGGGCGTCAAACGGTGCACCCCTTGCAATTCACGCTCATGAACATTCCAGAGGCATTAAGGTGGATGCTGGGAGCAACCAAGCTGATTGCTATGTTTCCACCGCTGCCTGTGGAAATGTCAGCCGAGCAAAAGGCCGAGGTCATGCAAGTGATGCTAGGCATTGTACTAGGCCCCCTAATGGCCTTTTCAAGCAAGGAAAGGTATGTCGTCATGCCACCATATGGCTATGTGTCGATGCGGAGCATGCATGACCGGGCAGTGTTGTCGCATGGACTGTTTGGGCGTTTATAACATGGCGCAATATTGTGCTGCTCGCAGTGGCGGGATCAAAGTGCAAGACGCAGCGGGCGTGGAGATGACAGTTCATCCGTTGCTGGCGGACTACGTGTGTGACCACCCCGAGTTGTCTACTGTCACATGCACGATGGCTGCGACTGCACTGCAGCCGTGCTCAATGTGTACAGTGGGATGGTGGGATTTGAACAAGGTTTCCGAGACCTTCCAACCACGGACGGTAGAAGGGCAGCGGGAGGTTTTTTAGCTGATGCAGCAGAGCACTCCCGAGTATCGTGAACATGTGAAAACGGCGTTCTCGACCCACTACGCTGCTGTAAGTGGACGTCTCCACATATCGGTTCTGCATCGGGGATTGTTCGCGTATATTGGTGTTGTGTATTCCCCCCGTTGAGTGTGGGTAAGCTTGTGCCGAACTTGTGTGCAGTGTGCTCTATGGGACTGGGCGTATGTCGATACGCCATGGGGTAATATGTACGAGGCCATTGGTATTTGTATCTTACATGTGGTGGATGAGGGTCTCTGGGTGCACACAATGAAGTGCATCTTGGGGAGACTTACGCCCACTTTACGCGCGGAGCTTTTGAGGTGTGTGTGGTTGGTGGAGCATATGCGTTTCCCGTCTTTCAGAAATCCCCTAACACACTGCGCATACAATGCTGCATAGATACGGCCGTAGTGCTAATCGTGCCATTATGCCATCCGCCACCCGGCGGGTGATATATGCAGGCATTGCCGGGCTGTTCTGGTGGACACCCCGGCCTCGCTCCTGAGGGGAAAATCCTGGCCTGCAAAATCAGGTGTAGAAACCAAGTGAGTGTATGCGTTGTGAAAACTATATGAAGAATGAGGATATACATGAAAGTGTACCTTCGGAATTGCCACGTCGATCAGATTTGTCGCAGGGATTTTGTAGGGATTTGTCACGAAACTTGCTAGTTAAAAGTGAACGAGATGGCGACTTGGGAGGAAAACCGCATCGCCACTCAATCTAGCGTGGCATCTTGGCATAGCGCCTCGATGCCATGCCCTGCTATACTATTATTCCTGACAGGGATACGGGAGTACGTTCTAGGCTAGCAAGTGGTGCAGTTCGTAGGTAGCTAGGCAATGACCCGTTCGGAAATTCCCATGCATCTCGCATGGTGAATTCCGTCCTGTTACAATACCGCAATACAGTAGCTCTAGTTATCTAACTCACCTGTCACAAGTATAGAGTACAGAGTCCGCGTCTCCCATCGCGGTTCCCATCCTCCCGTTCAAGTTATCCTATCCAGCACTTAATATCACCTTTCAGGCGAGGCTTCCCCCTCGGCGCCTTCTCCGCCGCCTCCAGTTCCCGCATCATATAACATCCCCACGGTGCATCTCGTGTACAGCCCCACCGATTGAACCTCTCTTCGGCTACTATCACTTCCCAAGCGTCTGTCGGTCTCAACCCATTCGCTCTCTTCCCCCACTCTCACCTCTTCCTTCCCGGCCTCGTAACCCTACTGTGCCCCCACTCATGCCTCTCCCCCAACCTTAATAGGTGGCAGCACAGGATCGTGGATGGGACTCGTTCAACAGCGGCGACACAAGCAGTGACACCAGCGCTTCAGGAAATTACGTCAGCGCTTCAGGAAATGATGTCAGCGCTTCAGAAAATGACGTCAGCGCTTCAGGAAATGACACCAGCGCTTCAGGCGATGAGACCAGCAACGGCTTGAGCAGCAATGAAAGCATCAGTAAGAGCAGCCTCGGCAGTAACAGCAGTAGCAACAGTGACAGCAGCAGCATCAATGGAGACAGTACTGCTGGCAGCAGCAGCGACAGCAGCAACAGCAACGAGAGTAACGGAAGTAACGTTGACAGCAGCAGCAACAGTGACAGTAACAGCAACAACAGTGACAGCACCAGCAACAGCAACGGTAGTAACAGCAGCAACAGTGACATCAGCAGCAGAACCGGCAGTGAGAGCGCCAGCAGCAATGATTATGGGTGCGGGCCTAGAGAGAGGGTGTGTTACGACAACGGTGCACCCAATGGCATGTACTGCCGGGGTGAGAACGAGCCGTGCATATAGGAGGAATGGATGTGTGCGCAGAATCACAACACCTATGTAAGCCACAACCTATGGGCTTAGATGGTCCTTGCATGACATTCCTGGCCACCATCATCCTTCTTCTGAGTCGACTCAAAAGTGTGCGCAGATGCTTAACACCTATGTAGGCCACAACCTATGGCCTTAGATGTTGCTAGCATGACGTTCCTAGCCACCCTCATTCTTCTGCTTCACCTCTTCCCTTCTCTCCCACTAAAGCTCTGCCACTGTGTTTCTCACTCTCAGCCACTCAGTCCTCTCCTCTCTCTCCATCTCACATCCTCTCCCCTGATTCCATCTCCCCTTCAACTCTCTCCTCTCCCACTCTATCCTCTCCAAATCTATCCTCTACACACTTTCCACTCCCACTCGCTCCTCTTCCAATCTCTCCTCCCCACTGTCACGCCGTCCTTTCTTTCCCAAGCCCACATCAGCACATCACTCTCCCCGCTTCCCACTTCTTGCCTCTCCAGGGAGTGTGCTCGGACCACAGGACATGCAATATCACCTATGGCTCGGGCAACTGCTGCGTGGGTCCCTATAGCGACCCAGACGAGTACTGTGGGCCAGGCTGTGGGAACTCTTTTCTTAGAAATAGCTCATAACTCGCCTCGCTTTCCCTTTCTTGCCTCTCCAGGCTGTGTGTGATGACCTCTGGTCCTGCAACATCACCTATGGCTCTGGCTACTGCTGCGTGGATCCCCACAGCGAACCAGACGAGCACTGCGGGCCTCAGAAATAGATCATAACTCGCCTCGCTTCCCCTTTCTTGCCTCTCCAGGCTGTGTGTGATGACCTTTGGTCCTGCAACATCACCTATGGCTCTGGCTACTGCTGCGTGGGTCCCCACAGCGACCCTGACGAGCACTGTGGGCCAGGTTGCCAATACTCGGACCAGGTTCGCTGCACTGAAACCAACAAGTGTGTGCGGGCATGCGAACCGTGTCCGACTGCCCACTAATGAAGCACCCTGTAAAGAATCAGACCCTGCCTTATGGCGAGGATGAGAACCCTGAAGTGTGCAAGACAAAGGAGAACGGGTACTTTAAGTGCCAGCGGCAGCAGAAAGTGATAGTTCCCGGGTTTGAAGAGGAGGGGGGCGTGTGGGTCGATGCGTACGTTTATTACATGGAGGTCTATAATGGAAACAACGACTGTCCTTTAGGGGATGATCATGAAGGGAACACCACTGCTGCTGCTGCTGTGACCAATACCGGCTTGGAAGCATCGACTTTAAGTGATGACGAGGATCCAGCGATGTGTAAGAGTTATGATTGCACATATGGACGCTGGAAGTGCCCTGGAAGCAGTCTGTGTATTTGGAAAAGATAGAGGTGCGATGGCAATAACGACTGCCCGGTCACCGCCAGTGCAGCCTATGATGCAGCTCAGGGGTTGCATATTGCAACTGAAGGCTCGGATGCTGCTGCGGAAGGTGTCACCACACTTGGCGGTCCACCCGACAGCAATACTATCTCACCGCTCTCAACCGTTTCTTCTCCTGCCCCACTGCCTTACGCAGCGGATGAGGACCCTGCCCTCTGCCGCTCGTTTGATTGTGAAACGGAATGGACCAACACCAGGCAGTGCCCGTTTACCGGTCAGTGCCTGCCATTGGAGAAGTGATGCGATGGGGTCAACGACTGCATTGATTACAGCAACTACAGTGGTAGAAGCGCCAGTGCTGCTAATAACGGAGCTGCTTATGCTGATGATGAGGATCCCGAGGTGTGCCGGAAGTTCAAGTGCCGCTGGGGTTACGACAAGTGTCCCAACGGCGTTCAGTGCGTGGAAAGGTCCCGCTTTTGCGACGGTGCTATCGACTGCCACATGAGCACGAAATCCACATCAGCAATGGACTTTGCCACGTCAGCCAGTGGGAATGGCAGCACCAGCAGCAGTGGGGGCAACAGCAGCAGCAGCAGCAGCAGGCAATGGTTGCATGAAGAAGAATATGGTTTCTGTGAGTGCTTGAGCGAGACTTGTAGTGAGTGGTGGTCCGGCTTGCGCGTGTGCGACAACAGCCCATACTGTGTCAACAAGAGCATGAGTGTGGACCTGGTGAAGAGCCAGTGCAACGGTAAGGAAAGGTTCCAATAAGCCACGAATCCCCCTCTTCCTCTCTCTGCTTGTTACACGCATCGATGCGACAACACCCCTCACTGTGTGAACAGGGACATCAGTGAAGACCTGGTGAAGAGCCAGTGCACAGGTAAGAAAAGGCTGCTTCCAGCTCTGGATGGGTAGGCACGTACCGTACGACCTTGAGGTGACGCAATAATCTTTCTCGATTTACTCTTCTCCCCTTGGTTTGCGCTGCTCTCAGCTGTGGATGAACAGACATGTATGACCTTTGAGGCGACTTAAACCCCCCTCACCCCCCACTTGCTGTTGTCTCTTGGTGTTTGCTGTGCCCCCAGCTCTAAACGACTGGGCAAAGATTCAGAAAGATGCTGCTGTTGCTGCTGCCGCTGCGGCGGCGGCTGCTGCTGAGGCTGCAGCTGTTGCGGATGTAAAGAAAGCCGGGAATTCCACTGCAGCAGCTGCCAACACTGGTGCTGCAAGCGGTAACTCTACTTCAAAGAGCGGTAACCCTGTTATGCCATCAAACAGCACGTCAGTCGCACGCCCAGGCTCATCTCGTAGGAGTGGGAAATGGTCGGATAAAAGAGGAGATGCTGGGGGGGCTGATAGTGGCAACAAGTCAGAGCAGGGAGGGGGGAAGGATGGGCAGAGGGGAGGGGAGAAGGGAGGGGAGAAGGGAGGGGAGAAGACAGGAGGAGACAAGGGAGGGGAGAAGACAGGGGGGGAGAAGGGAGGGGAGAATACAAGTGGGGTTGCTAGTGGAGAGAAACAAGGGGGAGAAGCGAGTGGGGTGAAGAGGGAGACAGAGAAAGAGAGGAAGGCAAGAGAGTGGGAAGAGAGAAAGCAGCTTGCAAAGAGCAAAGAGAAGGCAAAAGAGGAGGCTGCAGAGAAGAAAAGCCGGGAGGAAGAGGAAAGGAAGGCGAGGGAGGCAGAGGAGAAGGCGAAAAGGGAGGAAGCTGAGAAGGCGAGGAGAGAGGCAGAGAAGGGTAAGGGAAAGGACAAGGGGAAGGGCAAAGGAGGGAGCAGGAAATCGCCCAAGCCACCACCCGGAAAGAAAGCAAGTGTTAGAAGGCCCAGGAAAAACCTTAGATGATCTGAACAAGTATACTTGAGTGTCAAATGTTGTAGCCTATAGTGAGGTTTGTCTTAGGGGGTACAGAGGTTAGGGCTTGTCATATGTACCCCAACTCACATCAATGACATCATCACTTCCTTTCTTGACATGGTATCACCTAGGTTCGAATCCTGTGGGATCCCGTTCCTCCTAAGCTCATTCGTTTCGCCCGAGCCAGTCTCACTCTGTCGTACTAGTTGCGCACGTCTTGCCCAAGCCTAGCGCCGGCCCGCTCTAGTCGCGTTCGTTCGTTACCACTCGTTCCGCCGATCCACTGCTCTCGTAACGAAGCGACCTTCTCCCCCCCTCTCCCCCCTGCTGCCCGTCGCGTTTCCCCCCCCCTGCTGCCCATCGAGTCGCGTTTTTTCCCCCCGCTGCCCGTCGAGTCGCGTTTTCTCCCCCGCTGCCCGTCGAGTCGTGTTTCCCCCCCCCCCCCCCCCCCCCCCCCCCCGCTGCCTGTCGAATCGCGCCTTCCCCGGCCTCCGTCGGGTCGTGCTCTCTCCGCCCGTCGCCCCGTCGTGCCCTCCCCTGCTACTCGTCGCGACGCGCCCTCCCCCCGCTGCCCTAAACGCCCGTCGCGTCGCGCCTGCCCGACGTCGCGTCCCTACCCCTGCCCTACGCGCCCGCCGCGTCGTCCCTACCCCCGCGGGCCCGCTGCGCCCTTGCCTCCCCGCGCCCTACGCACTGCGCCCGTCACCTCCCTACGCCCTACGCCCTGCGCCCACGCCTCCCCGCACCCTGCGCCCGTTACCTCCCCGCGCCCTGCACCCTGCGCCCGCGCCTCCTTGTGCCCTGCGCCCTGCGCCCGTTTCTACGCACGCCCGCCCTTCGCCCGATGTGCTGTCTTGTCTCTTTCTGCACGCGTGCTTGCTTGCTCGCGCTGCCACGTCTGCTCGTTTTCTCCACCGCTGCGCCTCCTTGTTAGGCCTGCTGCGAGCCCTCCCCCTGCTCTACTATGCGTCCTGTCGCTCGTACTTCCACTATGGCGACTCCTAGAGTTCTTCGTTCTGATGCTGACGGTCGACCCCTTGAGTTCTTGGTCTGGCTGCTACACGCGTGTCGCCTTTCAGAGAGTCAGGTCCAGGCGGGTGAGTCCCCCTGTGCGCACGCTACTGGTGACCTTCCTGCGCCCGACGACCCTACGCCTTTAGGCTCTGCCCCTGACAACGCTGCTAGAGCCCGCTTTGCCAGCCAGCGTGCTGACCTAACGGCATGGAAGTCGCGTGACGCTGCGGCCCACATTGCTCTTAGCAGCCTCCTCCCTGAGTCTGAGGAGGCCCACTCCACTCAGGTTCGCACTGCTAGTGAGTTCCTGACTGTGATTAAGGCCCGCTACGCTACCCTCACCAGTGTCTCTCTTGGCCGACTCTTCCTACCGTTCCTGTTCCCTGACCTCGCCTCGTTTGAGTGCTCTGCTGACTTGATTGCTCACCTCCGCTCGCTTGATTCTAGCTACCGCGCTGCCTGCACTGACGCACAGCTTGCACTGCTCCCTCCCCCCATGGCGATTACTATCTACTTCATCGCCTCTAGCCTCCCTGACCGCCTTGCCTTAGTCTGTGACACGCTTCTTCTGAAACACCCTAGTGAGCTCACTATCGAGGTCCTTGCGTCTTCTCTCAAGGACGTCGAGAGCAACCTCCACTCCGTAGCCTCCGCCTCTGGTTCTGTGCCCCCTCCACTGTTCCACGGGTGCACTGTCCCTCAGCTGCCCACCTTTACAGCCTCTCTCGCCACTGCTGCTACTGACGTGACCGCAGCTGTTACGACTTCTTCGCGGTCTCGAGGTAGGGGTGGCAAGAGGGGCGGTCAGGGTACAGGTGGCGGCGGCGGTGGAGGCGTTGGCGGCGGAGGTGGCGGGGGTGGCGTGCCGATTGGTGGCGGCGGGAGTGCAGGGCCTGGAGAGGCATCTCGTGCAGCGACCGGTGACCCCGCTGCTGCAGCTGGAGGAGGCGACGCCCGGGCTCGTCAGCCACCTTCTGGTCTGCCGGCTGCGGCAGGTGGAGCAGCGGCGTGGTACCTGGCCCAGCGGCAGCAGCAGTAGCAGCAGCCCCTCCCCTTGCACCAGCCCCCGCAGCAGCAGCGGCAGCAGCAGGTTTCGGGGCCAGGACAGCGTCAGCCTCAGCGAGGTGTTGTTCACCCTTCATGCACCTATCAGCTTTTGACAGGTGCTCGCCGAGGCCAGCCTTGTGGTCGCACCCACCCTCCTGGTCAGTGCTTTCCTCAGCTCACTGACACGTTTTGCTCGGCCTACGGCGTTGGAGGCCCTGCCTCTGACTTGTTTCCTCTTGTTCAGACGTACGGCCCTGCCCTTTGGGGCATGTCAGCTTCTCAGTTGCTTGATCTCTTAGGAACTCCTCATGCTATGTATGCTGTTGTTGACTCTAGTGCTTCTGGCTCTGTTTACTCGAGTGTTGCAAGCTTAGGTGCTTGTCTTGCTGAGTTGCCTCTTGCTAGTGTAGGCACTTGTGTAGACACTAGTCTAGGAGCTCGTTCGGAGGACGCTTCGCTGTCTTTCACTTTGGACTCTGGGGCTTCGCACTGCTTCTTCAAGGACCACACGACACTTACTCCGCTTCCTGCGCCAGTCTCTGTGGCACTGGCTGATCCCACCTCAGGACCAATCACTGCTCGCTACACTACTACTCTTCTATGCCCTTCTATTCCCTCTGGGTCTCTGACTGGCTTCCATATCCCCCCGTTCTCAAGGAACTTGGTGGGCGTGAGGCCTCTTGTGAGTCAGCACGTGGGTGTGTGGATTGAGCCATCTGGTGAGACGGCGGTTTGTGTTGACGGAGACACTTGCGCGCCTCTTGCCACCTTTACAGCGGAGCCGGGCTCAGGTCTCTACATACTTCACACTGACCCTCGTGTGCAACAGCAGCAGTAGCAGCAGCAGCAGCAGCACCAGCGGCAGCAACAGCAGCGACTCCTGCCCCCGGCCCCGGTTACTTCCCCTAGTTTGGTCCCTGCGTCTCACCAGGTTGCTGCGCCCCCCCAGGTAGCTGTGTCTGGTCAGGTTCCCATGTCTGGTCCAGTTGCTGCGTCGTGCTCCTGTTGGTCACTTGCACACACCACCGTTGTGTGGAACCACCAGACGGGGCACCCGTCCCTCCCTCGTTTGCGCGCTATGTCTCGTCAGCGTCTAGTCTTAGGCCTCCCGCGTGTCTTGCCGTCGCTGCCACCTTCGCTTGCACCGCCGTGCGGTCCCTGCGTTGAGGGTTGGCTGCGCGCCACCCCTCACTCCTTCTCCCTTCGTCCGGCCACCGAGCCTTTTGAGACGCTCCACTTGGACGTCTGGGGCCCCGCCCCTCGCCTTGGCCCTGAGCGCGAGCGTTTCTTTTTGGTGGTCGTTGACGACTACTCCCACTACACCACATTGTTCCCCCTAGCGAAGAAGTCTGAGGTGACTTCTACGCTGATCAGGTGGTTGCTTACCATTGAGGGCACTCGTGGTCGTCGTGTCAGCTGTCTTCACTCTGACTGTGGGGGTGAGTCTCGCTCCGGCATTCTCGCTGGATTCTGTCGCGAGCAGGGCATTCGTCAGTCCTGGACACTTCCAGAGTCCCCACAGCAGAATGGGGTTGCTGAGCACCGCATAGGCTTGGTCATGGAGATCGCCCGTACCTCCTTGACTCACGCCCGTGCCCCCCATTTTATGTGGCCCTACGCGGTTAGGTACGCCGCTCACTAGCTAAACCTCTGGCCTCGCGTCTCTCGGCCAGAGGCTTCACCGACCAGTCTTTGGACCGGGTCCCCTGGTGTTGCGTCGAGGTTTCGTGTCTGGGGTTGTTTGGCTCTTGTCCGCGACACTTCCGCGGACAAGCTCTCGCCTCGCGCCGTTCCCTCTGTCTTCCCTGGTTTCCCTGAGGACTCCTCTGACTTCAACTTTTACCACCCTCCCTCTCACCGGTTCTTTGACTCCCGTGACATCCGTTTCGAGGAGTCCACCCCCTAATACGTCAGGTACCCCAGTCGAGGTCTCCCGGTTCCTCCTCCCCCTCTCTTCCTGACTTCCGCTCCCCCTCCTGCTCCCCCGGTACAGCCTCCCCCCCCTGGTCCCACCCCGTCATGTGTGTCCCAGGCTACCCCTCCCCCCTCGGTAGCCCCTCAAGAGCAGCCTTCTTCCCCGCAGTCCTCTTCGCAGCCTGCTGCAGACCCTGTAGGAGTCGGTGCTCGAGGAGAGGGCCCTACAAGTGCTAGCTCTGGGGGTGAAGGAGTTCGAGCTGAGCCCGTGGTTGCAGGAGACTCTTGTCTTCCGGGAGCTGGTGCTGGTCCTGCTGACCTTGGGGGTGCTACGTCTGGGGGTGCGGGTGCACCCTCTTCGGGTCCTGGTGAGCCTGGTCATGTTGCTGTTGGTGGTGCTGACTCTGGGGGCGGTGCGCCAGGTGCTTTGGAGGGCGGTCCCGGGGCTACCGCAGCCCCCGACACTACTCCTCCCCCCCACCCCTACCCGACCCGGCACCAGGCTCGTGTTCGCCGTGCCCGTGAGGAGCAGTTGGAGTTGGAGAGAGAGGAGAGAGAGTTGCACTGGCTGGAGGAGTAGCAGCAGCAGCAGGAGCAGCTGCAGCAGCCGCAGCTAGAGCCGCCGCAGTAGCAGGAGGCGCAGGAGATGGAGCCGCTACAGCAAGAGGAGGAGCAGTAGAGCAGCCGCCGCCGCCGCCGCAGCAGCAACAGCAGCTGCCGCCTCCTCCTCCTGTCTCCGGTCTTCGGGCCCTCGGTCTCCCCTCCCGCTCTCCTTCCTCCCCCCCCTCTCCTCCCGTCTCGGGTCCTCGACTTCCTCCCTCTGACCCCTCTCCAGCTGTTTTCCCTGGTTCTTAGTCTTTGTTGTCCCCTACTCCTTCTCAGACTTGGGCCTCTCGTCGCTCCCCTCGTGCTCGTCCCTCGTCCCCTGTTCCCTTCACTGACCTTCGTACTGCCTTACTTCGTTCTAGTCCGTCTCGTCCGTCTCCGTCTGTGCTTCCGTCTCCTCCTAAGTC